CCAGCCTATTCCAGCCATGATCAGAAAGCCTTAACAAATATTTCTCAAAATAACATTTTGTCCTCCTTGGTACATTTATAAGAGTAACAATCAAACAATGGGAATAATCTAACTGCTCAGAAATCGGCACTTATTGAAGCAAATTACAGTGCATCCATATAGTGGAATACCAAGTAACCACTAACATCATGTTGTTGTCTTCCATTTCAATACAGCAGCCAGAGCACATCCCAAAGTAAGCACAGTAAAAAAGTACAAAAAAGAGTAAGTTCCCACAGTGTTGTGAAGGAGAGGGGGAAGCCCAGGCAAGCAGGGCTTTTGATAAATCTCTGGAAGATAGAAAGTAGAATGGACGTTAAAAAGGCTGAAGTGATATAGTGGTGGTGTAGTGGTGGGGTTTGCATGCTCCACTTCAGCAGCCCGTGGGTCACACTTTCGGATCCCAGGCACAGACCTGCACACTGCTTGTCAAGCCATGCTGTGGGGGTGTCCCACATACAAAATGGAGGAAGACTGGCACAGATGTCAGCTCAGCAAAAATCTTCCTCAAGCAAAAAGAGGAAGATTGGCAACAGATGTTAGTTCAGATCTAATCTTCCTCACAAAAGAATGAATAAATAAATAAATAAAAAGGCTGAAGGAGGGATAGGAGTAATTTTCCTCAGCAACAAAGTCAAGGAGAGGCTCCAAGCTTGAAAGGGGCCAAACTAGGAAAAGAGACAAAAATCAAGATGATTAATTCTAGGATTATTTACACAGCAACTATACAATTTGTCCCCTCATCAACAGCATCCTACTTTCTCTAGGAGAGTCAAAATATTTACCTCTAGGATAAAACTAAAGATCTAATGTCTAAAACAACTGACCAATATGCTAGGGAGAGAGTAGAACCTCTAGAAATGGAAGCACTCCAGAACAAAGCCTTCCTCATTTGGCACAACACAGGATGGAGCTGGTCTACTTGCCTGACTGCCTTCTGATTTTACTCCCTAAGTGAAGCTTTCCAGTACTCACTCTCTGCTCATATTCACACTCATTTCTCCATGAATGGGAGAAGCCTGTTGGTTCAACAGGTCTAGAACCTATCGAGGAAACTCAAATTAGTTATCTCTGCTAAGCAAACTTGCCTTTCTGTCCTTTGTTCATACATATGATGAAAAAATAAAGCAATTGACCATGAAAGAATCAGTGATAATTAAGGGAACAGAAAATAACTTTCAACTTTAAAAATATTAGAGAACAAGCTGCACATGGAAAACAAGAATATAATGATAAGAAAAATATGCAATCAAAGAATACTAAAGAGTTCCTGGAAATTATAAATGTCATTCCAAAATAAGAAATTCAATAGAGATTCTGAGGGGGGAAAAAAACAAGAAACCTTCTAAAAGATAAAAAACAGAACAGGGAAGAAAAGTTAAGACGTAGAAGATCAACCCAGAGAGTTCAATATCTATCTAACAGGAGTTCCTAAATGAGAGAAAAGAGAGGGGGAGAAAATAATGAAAGGAAATTTTCTAAAACTGAAAATAATATTTCTTTGCGTTGAAAATTCTTACAAATGCTTCTGGTTGCTTGTTTCCAAAGATGGCCACAATAATATCTCCTATACCACGTGACTTTTGCAATAAGACTTTGTTAGTTTTTTCATCAAACAGTAGAGTCAATTTCCTCTATCCTTAAACCTATATTTATCCTGAAACTTGCTTTGATGGACAGAATGTGGCAGAAGTAGTATGGGGTAGCCTCCAAGACTAGTTTTGATGAGGCTTTGTGGCTTCCACTTAGCCAGGAAGCTCAGGTTAGAGTATATAATGAAGAAGACCATCTGGAGAAAAAAGCCAGGTGGAAGAGCACTGAGGCAACAAAGATGCAAATGAAATCTTCTTTGTCCTTCCAGCCCACCCCAGCAGCCAGCTGAATACAACTAAAGGAGTAATCCCAGTTGACTCCAATGGAGCAAAAGTTCTGCACTATTTTCTAGCCAATGAATCATAAGAAATAGTAAATTGTCATTGTTTTAAAATATTAACTTTTGGGGAGGTATGTTATAACACTATCAATGTATCTTTAAAGGCCCTTAGTTAGACTTATTCAGAAAACTTTCAGAAATCCAATGATAAGTAAAAAGATCCTATAAGATTCCAGAAAGAAAGAATAGTTATACATAAAGGAGTGAGAATCAGAATGGTATCAGAGTTTTCATTTGGATCATTAGATGCTGCAAGTCAGTTGAACAATGCCTTAATAGTACCGAGGAAACATTATTTTGAATCTATATTCTATATCTACCTAAAATATCAATCAGAAATAAGTGCAAAATAGATATATTTTGGGACATGAGAAAATCAGGAAGTTTATCATGACCAACAGACTATCTCTGAAAATACTACTCAAGGATGTGCTACAGCAAATTGAAAAAGTAATCAAAAATAGAAAGTATGAAATCCAAGGAACAATAATGCTAACCCAAGAATGAAAAGAAAAGAAATCTCAAGTTGACAGAAATCAGCCAGTCTATAAAACAATAGCTAAAACTTATAACAGAATCACAGGCTCCGACAAGTATGTTTTCAAGAGGAAAGTAAATTATTTGTAAGAAATATATGATTAAATAGCTAAATTATCTTTGTAAAAAAGATAAAATCAGACTCTAATATGAGAAAAAGAGGATGAGAGTGAAGACATAAGTTCTTTTTTTCTCCCTCTTTCTCCTCTTATTTTTAGTAATATTTTCTTTGGGATAGCACATGTTTAGTGACATAAGAATGCATATCGTATTTTCCAAGGGAAAATTTTCCATTTTGAACTCTCTTATACAGTTTGAAATTTTGCTACAAGTAACATGTGCATATGTTACTTACACAAAATATTTGTATATATTACTGTAAAATATTTAGAAATATTGCTGTAGAAGATTTTTTGTTATGGGAAAAATATACCATTTTTTAATACGAAAAAACACGTGCATGGACATATCTTTGGTTTATGAAATTATTAATGATGTTTTTCTCTTGTGGTTTTTCAAATTTTCTACACTGAAAACTGAAAGTAACATTGTGTTAATTTTTTTAAAAAAACTTAGATCTTCTCAAAAATAACCAAAAGTTAAAATTCATCAGGCAGATCATATCAGAAAAATTGAAACATTTTGTAACAGCCCATAGCTTCCATGCTTAACTTCTGAAAGCTCATATTACACCTTTGGGGATTAGGAGCTGACAGATCTATTTTTTATATCAATTTCAGTTTTCACTTTTCAGCACCTTAAATCCTGTATGTTCAATGTGTACTGAGAGGTTCTGAACATATGCAAACATAGTATCCAGAAGCTTCTGCCTTGTTTAAAATCTAAATGGAAAAAAGTTAAAACTAATGCATTTTCTCCTCTTTAATTAACGTTGAAGAGTTTTTGTCTTGATGTGACTTTGTTGTTACTTATTAGTTCATGTTTGTGTAAAAACGTGTATGTTAGATTTAGGCCTTAGAGTTTTGCCAGAGAAACGAGCCAGCTGAGATAATGACATAAAAGGTAATTGAGGGGTTGGTCCCGTGGCCGAGTGGTTGGGTTTGCAAGCTCCGCTTCGGCGACCCAGGCTTTCGCCGGTTCAGATCCTGGGCACGGACATGGCACCACTTGTTGGGCCATGCTGGGGTGCCGTTCCACATGCTGTGGCTGGAGGGACCCACAACTGAAAAATATGCAACTATGTAGAGGTAGGGGGGACTTTGGAGAGAAAAAGGAAAAACAAAATCTTAGAAAAAATAAAAGGTAATTGATTAGAGTATAGTTTAGTTACCTCTTAGCATCACCCATCTAGACACGAAGGATGAATAAATCCAGTAGGAACTAAAGTAACCTTTAGTTGAGGAGCAGGAAATAAACTGTTAGGTAGAAGATAAAATATTTCAAGCCAAAGAGAAGGCTTGAAGGAGAACACGAAACGGGATAGGAGAAAAAGGAGGTGAATGGTGAGTTAATTAGTTCTGTCATATTAGTTTTGGAGAGACCAATTGGAACTGGACCCAAAGCATCTGGTAAGGTACTTGAATTAAAATGAACTAAAAACCAGGAAAAAAAAAAATGTTTTTCACAAGATTCAAACAGCTTTGACTCACTCCTTCCAAATATCCTTTCCAAGAATCACCAATTCTAATAAAAGTTGTTTGTTCCTGTATGGTTGGAGGTCAATAGGGCAAGTCATTTCTTGGTCACCTTGAAATAACATGGCCCCTATATGTTACAGCTTGATTTTTGAAGCCTCGAGCTATGAGCATGGTTACCCGCATCACCAATGTGCAGGCTCAGACTCCAACCTGGATACACGGGAAATGACATAACACGGCAGATGACGAAAGACAGCGGAATCACCTAGTCCCAGCAGATGATGCCGTCGCAAAAGAAGGGCCTCTAACAAAGTCCCAGCATTTAACTATGAGGGTTTGGGGGTTACAAAGGTGAAACAAAGAGGGGCTAGGAAGATCTAGAAAGGAAATAGAAAAATAAAAGAAGGGAAAGAGAAGAAAAGAGGAGCAAGAGAAAGAAAGAAAAAGGGAAAGGAAGAAAAAAGAAAAAAATGAGAGGGGAGAAAATAGGGCTGCACCTGACATTTAAAGCAAAGCCCAGGGCAGGGGTCCAGGACAGAGAGCATCCCCACTCACTCTCTCCCACCTTCCCACAGGCACTTCCCTCAGACCCAGGAAAGAAGCTCCCTACTCTGGTTCTTAAGCTTTAGAGATCTCTGCACTGGCCCTCCTCCATCCTACGGGATCCAGGGCAACAGGGCCAAGTGGACATGATCACTCAGAGCTCATGTCCCCACTTCTAGATCTCTTTCAGTGAACTTTAGACCCTAGAATTTCCTACACAAATGGCCCCCAGATGCCAAGTAGGTTTCCAAGGTCTACATGGGCACCTTCTCTGCATCATCTTCTGGAAGGCGGTCTACACTTCTAATGCTTGCACTCCTGGCCCTGAGGGGTGGCCAAAGAATAGTCACCTGTAGTATGGGATTGTAGCTGAGGTTTAGACACAGGCTGGGTTGTCCACATGTGTGTACATGAGAGTCTTCAATTGATGGATGGAGCTGGGGAGGGGAAGAGCAAAGGAGACAGAAGCCAGCAGTCAGGGGCAGACTCTCCCAGTCACGTTTGACATAAAACCTGTAGGATTCCAAAATTCTAAGTTAAAATTAGACCTTCCAGGTTGTTATAAAGAAACACTTGTCAAGTTAAGAGGCTAGAAATGATTCTACTTAACATGTTGCTAACTTGATTTGAAACTATCAAATATATGATACATGGTTTTCCAGCTACACTCTTTCTCCAAGCCTGCAAAGCCTACATGTGGGCCATAGAATGGAGGCAGAATAGACAAACAGATTTTATTTGTGTGTAGAGAAAAATTTTTGCACAAAAAAACCCAACAAGTATGTGTAGTATGTTTCTGTATAACATAGCATGGTTAAGCAGATCTACAACGTACTTTGAAATAGAAAATAAATGTGACTATTTTTAGTGTTAGAGTAAGAAGCTTACACATACAGTAACGTGGTTTAGTAAGTTACTAAGTATGGCGGTATGGCAGACTGTGGTTTCCAAAAATGGCCACAATACTTCTCATCCCATACTCTTCCAGAACCTTGCCATTCCCTCATCAAGAGGTAAAGTATATGTCTCCTCCCTTGAACCTAGGTGAGCTTTTATGACTTCTTTAACTAATAAGAGTACAGTAAAAGCAGCATCCTGTGATACTGGAGAATAGAACACGTATAAAAGGCAATACAACTTCCTCCTAGCTCTCTCTTGAGACCCTCACTTTTGCAACACAGTCACCATGCTATGAGGAAGCCACACACCCACAAGGAGAAGCCAAACGTAGGCATTCCTGCCCACGTTCCTAGCTGAAGTCCCAGCCAACAGCCAGCACCAACCACCAGACATGTGAGTGAGCAAGCCTTTAGAATATTCCAGCCTCCACACATCCACTTCAGCTGATGTCAAGTGGAGCAGAGATGAGCAGAGCTCTCCAATCCTCACACAGATCATTGATTCCTGAGCTAAATTATTGATTGCAAATTGTTGTTGTTGTTTTAAGGCACTAAGTTTGGGATGCTTTATTACCCAGCAATAGATAAATGGACCCCTAAGTGTGAAATAATTTTATTTTAAAATGTGTTATTAAATAACACATATCTCACTTTTAAAAACAAACTTTAAAAAAGAATAAGTAACTTAAGAAAAAATTGAGTTATGGGTTTTCTACGTGTACAACAGGTTTAACACTATTTAATAATTTCAATGTTTGAATTAGTTAAATTTAATCAAAGACAACCTAACACTGATTAGGATGGCCAATAAAAAAAACCCCAGAAAATAAGTGTTGGAGAGGATGTGGAGAAATTGGAATCCTTGTGCATTGCCAATAGAAAGTAAAATGGTACAGCCACTGTGGAAAAGAGTATGGTTGTTCCTCAAAATATAAAAACTAGAACTACCTGGGGGCTGGCCCCATGGCCGAGTGGTTAAGTTTGAGCGTTCCGCTGCAGGCGGCCCAGTATTTCGTTGGTTCAAATCCTGGGTGCAGACATGGCACTGCTCATCAAACCACACTGAGGCAGCGTCCCACATGCCACAACTAGAAGGACCCACAATGAAGAATATACAACTATGTACCAGGGGGCTTTGGGGAGAAAAAGGAAAAAAATTAAATCTTTAAAAAAAAATAGAACTACCATAAGATCCAGCCATTCCACTTCCGGGTATATATCCAAAATAACTGGAAACGTAGTCTCTAAGAAATATATGCACATTCATGTTCATAGCAGCATTATTCACAATAGCCAAAAGATGAACATAACTCAAGTGTCCACTGATGGATGAATGGATAAACAAAATGTGGTATATACACACAATGGAATATTATTCAGTCTTATAAAGGAAGGAAATTCTGACACATGCTACAACATGCATGATCCTTGAGGACATTATGCTAAGTGAAATAAGCCAGTCACAAAAATATACTGCACGATTTCACTTACATAAGGTACCTAGAGTAGTCAAATTCATAGAGATGGAAAGTAGAATGGTGGTTGCCAGGGGCTGAGAGGAGGGAAGATTAAGGAATAGTCCTTTAATGAGTATAAAGCTTCAGTTTTGCAAGATGAAAAGAGTTCTGGGGATTGGTTGCACCACAATGTGAGTTTACCTAACACTACCTGTCTGCACTGGTTAAGGTAAATTTTACATTATATATATTTTGTCACAATTAAAAATTTTTTCAATTAATCAAGGACTTTTTGTCTCCATGATTCCAGAGTTTCTCTCAGTCTTACTCATTCTCATATCATATGGACATAGCCAATATTTGCTATAGAATAAAATCACCAGAAATTTCTCCTAAATTTGCATGAGCAAAATTGCTCATCAAATTTGGCAGTATTATCATGAAATTTAATACTATTTAGACCAACAAACAGTTGGCCAAATAAATAGGGAATCTAACACATTTCATTGGTTCATTAATAATAATAATGCTTTTCATGGCCAATATATTGTGGCATGTAACATCTTTTTTAAGACTAATGGTCAAGGCTCTGGTCGGTGTTTATTTCTGTCAAAGTTCGATTCTTGTGGTCAATTATAATTCATTCATATTTCATAGTTCAAGTTTGAAATATATACAAGCTATTTGACTCTTATATCGTTAAAAGTTCCTAGATGTGATCCATTAATGTTTATGGTAGACAATTGCAATTTTCAAAAATGTAAAACATGCTTTCTTCATCCTGTACAGCAAATAGTTTAGCTTTTTCATTTTATTTTGCTGAACAAATGGAAAATATCTGGCAACTACTTTGGATTATTAATTTCAAAAAAGAAAATATTTTATCGTATTTCTATGGGGAATTTGTAATTGTAATTTCACAAGCTACACGCCCAACAGAGGGACTACTTTTCTTTTTTTTAATACCCAAAAGTAGAGTTGACATTAGGGAAAAAAGAGAAGTCACATAAAAAAAAAAAAAATCAGTACGTTATTTCATTTAAACTCATGTAAAGAAATTATAATAAACTGATTAGAACTTAAAATTGTTCCTAATGTCTTTCTTTGTTTACATTGGAATGGAAGGTCACTCATATCTGAGCCACCTTCCTCGTGACAGCGCTGAGTGACAGTGTTTTGACCTAAGTAAGTTGTTGTTGACTTTTGCCTTCCACCTTAATATTTGGGTATCACACACAGAAAAAAAGAAAAAAGAAGAAAACATTTTACTCAACATTCTCCAAGTCAAGATTATCTTTCCAGTAAGAATAATTTCAAGTTTTGTCAAGCAATTTTTTTAATAATAAAACTTTTTTATGGTTTGTAATGCCACGACCCTTATGGTTCATGTTCCAGAGCAGTGTTGTGGCTAAAAATATATACAATCCTTGAAAAAAATTTAACTTAATTTCAAAATAAATCAGCTCCTTTTCTTGTATTTCCTGAACACTATGATGAGGATACATGAGTCCCAGCAATTCTTAAATTCCTTTTTTTTCTCCCTTCCCATCTGTTGCCATCAAACATGTGAACTATTCCTAGACCTTTCTCCTCAAATCCTCCAAAAAATCTTCTTCTCTACCTTCAGCCTACACGACTTTTTCTATTTTCAACCATCTTCCCTCTCCCAGTCCCTCATTATATAAATTGACTTTATATATAAAGTGACACTAAATTGTTCTCCTTCATTCTCCCACTATTCCCATTCATCTCTCTCTGCTGTTCTCCTATTCTCTCTCTAAAGCCAAGATAACTGGCAAGACACGTTTTGAGGGGAAAGAAAAAATGACTGCGCAAAGCTGAAAATCTCTTTTGCAGACAGGTTGTAAGTATGACAATGAACCTAAAAATCTTCATGCACCAGTCATGTTTAGTCTATTATATTCTAATAGCTACAAAATTTATTGCCCTTTCAGTAAAAATATAAAACTGCTCATGAAGTGTCTCCAAACTTAAAATGCTGAAGTCTTCCCTTTCTCCAACCAAGATTTTTAAATAACATTGGCAAGAGTCTAATAAATTGAAGGTTCTCTCCGCTTCTTTTCAAGTACCTCAGAGAGCTTAAAACCTAGAAGAGAAGAGGTTAGTACCAATGTTTTTGCTCTACACATTTCTGCTTTGGAGAGTTGTAGCAATTTGGGTTGAAATTTTGGCCTTAAGCACCATGAAATTCCCGCCCATGATGTGAGTCCCAAGAAACATCTGGGGTCTTTACGCAACGAGCCTCTAAATCTTCGTTTTTCCCGGGCGGCACACACACAGGTTGCACTCTATGATTTAATCAGCTGCCTTTAGAAAAACAGGCACTTAGAATTCTAACATACTGGAACCAGTCGTGGTGTTTTGAAAGTCACAGCAGGAGCACACTTAAACCCTAGGACAGCACTCAGTCGAGAGTTCTTTTTCTCTTCTTACAGTTCCTTTCTTTGTACAAAGTAAACTTTCTTCCTCCGGTCAAAAGGACGTAGGATGAGCTATCGACCCGAAAGCACAGTTGTCTTGTCTCTCGTGAATGGTTCCACATTAGGTCACCGTAGAACACACACTAACAGGAACACATAAAAGCTCTAAAAGCAGAGGGGAGAGACACTGTTCTGGAATATCGTTGCCAGAGTAACATAAACCTTGTGTGTTTTCACAAGGAAATGAGTCACTTGTTTCTGTTGGCTAAAACTCTGTTTTCTTTAATTTCATATTTTAGCTGTCTAATATATGCTGAAAGAGCCCAGGGTTTCCAGTCTTCAGATGAAGATAACTTGCTAATTAAAAGCTCAGCAGAGGGTTTGCATGGTAATTAAAGAGAACGGGATAAAAGGAACACTGCAGCAACCGGGAGCACATAGCAAAGGCAATGGTGGGAGCCTTCTGACCATAGTCAGTTCTTCAAGAGAGAGCCCTAGGGGTGGGGGCAGGGGCGGGCTCTGCACACAGAGACAATTCAGAAGAAAACAACAGCTAGAAGTAAAATTTGCTGAACCCTATTTGTTATATAGTATACTTGGACAAAGTCAGGATGTTTGGCCTTGAGTTATTGAGCTATTTATTTGAATGTTTTCTTTCTTTAGGATGGTTTAGCCTTAGAAAGTATTAGTTCAGGAGTTGCAAATGCAACTGTGCA